TTTTTTATTTTTTTTTTTTTTTTTTCAACAAAAGTTGTACTAAAACCGTCTCTCTAGTTAAAAAAAATTAATGTCTTACAGTCCACCATTAGTTTTGGTCTACTACAGGTAAAGTTATATCTAAGACAGTGTAGCACATTCAAAAACCAAAAAATAAAAATAGTTCACATGTCAAATGTTAATTTTTTAATAAATTCTTTGTCTCTTTTCCTTACATAATCATATGAATTCAACTTGTACCTCCACATATACGACTGGTCTCTCACAGGTTCTGTGCCCCACAGACTGAGAGCCCAAGTATACAATGCTCTCCAACACCTCAAACTATTGTACCAGATTACGTTATTTATCCTTACATTTTATTGGCAGTTTGCACATCATTTACACTTTTTTACTTTTGTTTTGGTTCAAAAGAGAGTGAGCTCCTCTCAGTGGACAGCCTTGGATATAAATACAATGTGAGTGCAAAAAAGAGTCAGTTCATTTATTCCAATTCTGGTTTTTGTTTTAAGGGCAATACAGTGTTACCACACTAGATGGCAGTAAAGTCATTCTTCAACCGTCTGTCAGCGAATAAGTGTGACAATTATCCAAATAAAATTCCATTTATGTGTATTTGTTACTATAAGTGTGTCGTACTAACCCCATATATATAGTATAGTGATACCCAGCCCTCCTCGCAGTTCTGCTATCAGTCCCCCGCTTTTCTGAGGACAGCCGCCCTCATGTTTTAGGGGCGGTAGTCTGAAGCTATTCGTCCTTCTTCCTCACATATTCATTGTACAAGCCTGTAAGGACCGACTACAGCCGCGGCTTCCCAGAGACCCACGGCGGAGCTACATGAACATCCTCTTCGACAAACATTGACAATAATGGCTACTGAAAACTTCGAACTGACCGGCGATGCGGACAAAAACGGCGAGGCAGAGGTAAGGACTGCCAACAAATTCTTGTTTAGCAATATTAAGCCGCCACTAACATCCTGCTCAGGCTCAGCCAAGCGCACATTCCCACAGAAATAATTCCCAGTTTGTGGCAGTGTGGGATATTCCCGGCTTACACGGGTTTTTTTTCCATCCATTTCTCTCATCTGTTCACTCCTCCTCATAATGTCGCTTGATGTAGACCAGAGTGACTGAACTTGTGTCATTCAAAGTATTAGACATGTATTGAGCTAACTGTAGCCAGTTAGCTGGGGTTTGCTTTAATTGGCCTCTAATTCCAAGGCTAATTTGAACATTTTCTGACATTTTCCACTTGGTTTTGTGGTGTGAGAGAGAGCTCATCTGCTGTTGTCCAAAGGCTCAGTTTACTTCAGATGATACATGAGGACGGAGTTTAAGCATTGTTCTGTGGAGGATCAGGTGGATCAGGTGGACCAGCTCACCCAAAATCAGTGATAACATGTAACTAAGTGGTTTGTTCAAATAGTACACCTTTAACATGCCTTTGTGTCCGTAGTCTGAGATCAGTAGGAGCTTTATTTATATGAGATGTTTAGAGTTATCTATGACATTAAAGTAACAATGACATTTTGTGTTTTATCAAAACGTCCAAGGTGTCACTTGCATGAGAATACACTGCATGCTGACCTTAGCAGATGAGTGCAGTGGAAAGCTACAATAAAGTGTTGTGGGGTACACTGCTTATTCTGCCATAGTAGTCCACAGGAAAGACTCTGAAGTATGCAATGGGTAATCCAAACCCAGTCATTAATGATTGACAGGCTCATTTGAGTTGTACCAAAATTATTAGGTTACTTGATTAAGTGAATCTTATAATCAGTTTGTTACCACCACTATTAAATAGCTATTAGTTATGAATTTGATTAGTTATAATTTGAGACGCATTAGTTGCATTCCCGATATGTCAGTAATAATTAAAAGTAATAATGATCAAGTCAGTGTGAGAGACATACACCAAGTTCTCACCTCAGAGTTCCTGTGCTCCTTAGACTTGGTAAATTCAGCTTGATTTAATATTAACCACAGACATTATATAAAACAGGAATGGCAGCCAAAGGTCACTCATTCCAATAGTAGTTTGGGTTATGGTGGCCTTTGGTTAGCTACACAATGAAAACCACATCACACATGAGCAACAGTCAAAGACTAAACGCAGTTTTACAAGCTGATCATCCAGATTGCCCCATTAATGTTAGTGTTATGATTTCTAATCTTTACTAGTAATAGGCTTTCTTTTGATATGTAAAATAAAATAATACTGCTGATAGATGATGTGATCACATAAATAATGCAGCCCTGAGTCCAAAAAATTGAAACAGAGGAATTTTTTTTTGCGCATTCTGTTTACCACTGTGTTGTCATAGCTCTTGTTGCAGCACAGTTGTTGGTAGATGTTGATAGAAAACCAAAAGCCAATTCAGAAGTACCTCAAAAAATTCTATCTGAAGATGGTTAAAGCTGTGGTTGTAAAAACACTTCCTGTCCTATAGAAACAGCTCTCTCTCTCTTGACCTCTGTAAACACTTCCCTGCTGAGTTTGTGAGGTCAGTCCCTCGAGTTGGGTCAGAATGAGTTAAAAAGGTTGCTCATTGGCTAATGAGTCGTTAATCAGAAGTCATCACTCACCAGCCAGCGAGCATATATTGGATTTTTACATCACTATATATCAGTATTGATCTTAAAAATTGTAAATTGGTGTGGCCTTACTCTCTGACAATGTTTGAATCGAGGAAATCAGTTGTTGCACTAGAAAGCAAAGTATGTTCCCATTGCCCTTTTTACCCAACAGTTTGTTGTTTGACTCTTTTTGTTTTTTTTGAGTAATGTGGGGTCAGGACATAATTCCTTTACTATAAACCCACGCTGCTGGAATGTGTTTGAAATTAGCAAGAATGCTGCTAGTGCAGTTTCATCTGAAGATCAGGGCCATTCAGCTGTTTGTCAGATAGTACTGCAAGTGTCAAACAGAGACTAAAATATGCAGATGCTTTGATGATATTAATAACAATAATGGATTACATTTAGATAGCGCTTTTCGAGACCCTCAAAGCGCTTTACAATTCCACTATTCATTCACACACTGGTGGAGGTAAGCTACAGTTGTAGCCACAGCTGCCTTGGGGCAGACTGACAGAAGTGAGGCTGCCAAATCATACCATCTGGCCAACACCAGTAGGTGAAGTGTCTTGCCCAAGGACACAACGACCAAGACAGACAGAGCAAGGGATCAAACCGGTAACCTTCCGGTTACAAGATGAGCTTCCCGACCCCCTGAACCACGGTCGGCCGTAACCGTGGTTTCATCCATTAATGATATTTAATGGATGGAATCCCCAAAAATTCTTTGCAGTTTTATATTTACGATAGGTGTTCTAACCGTTTTGGAAATAGGACTGTAATTAGTTGCCAGCCTACTTGTATCCCTTGAAGGAAGATGATTATCACATGTGGTGAACTATCTAGAAAACTTCAGCTAAAAATAGCAAAAACTAAACAAAGAAAAAGTAGCTCAGAGAGAGAGAGAGCACCAGTTAGGAGTTTAAGTATATAGTGAGTAAAAGCTGGTGACTCTCAATTCTACCTCATAAGTATCTTTTTCTCCCTCTGTGGCCTGGCAGGCTTTCATGGCTGCAGTCAGAGTCAGACCTCAGCCTATAATGTTGCCAACCGGTGCACACGATTGGTGTTGTTGGGCAATTAAACCTCCACCCAGCTGAAACTTTGAGCAATTTGTATGAGAATCTCATTAGGAGAAACTGGGGTTTCACCAGTGACCATAGTTTCCTGTGACGAAAAGTTTTAATTTTATTTTTTTTGTTAGTTCCAGTTAACTTGGAATAGAAACTGAAGATAACTACTACTTTTTTTTTCTCTTTTAGTGCTTTCTGTTTAGTATTGAATAAATAATCTTGAGTATCTCGCAGTAATCAAACATGTAACCCTGATAGTGGGATAAGTGTGGTGATTTCACCCTGTATGATGTCAAATCAAATGTATGCTCTAACAAATACTTATTCATGAGATGTTAATAAGCGTCTTCACTCACTTTCCCCTGTGTTTGGATAGAGGTCATTTTGGGGTTTTTGTGACCTGGTCACTTGGGAAAAAAAAGAAATAAGAGGATGTGTGTTATTTATGACATTTGGCCCAAATCCAACTCCTTCTCCTTCTACTTGATGAGAGTTCCTGTTCAGTTTAAAAAAACACTTTCACTTCCATTAATATCGTCCACATCGCTTCTCAGGTTCAGCATGTGACATGTTGAAACAACACCCAGACATGGACAATGCACCATATTGCTAAAGACATTCAGTGAGATTTGAGAAGTCATGTGTTGACTAAAGCAGGCGATAAACAAACTCTGGGCTGTTTGTCTTACGTGAAGCTTAGTCAAAAAATATCCTGTTTCTGCTGCATTATTTTTGTCATTTATAGTTCGGAGCCGACGAAAGCAGAATACAAAAGAAAGTCATTCTTAATCATGACATGTTGTTCTAGGGAAACCAAAACTGTAAAGTGAGCCAGTTACATTTTGAAATAAATTCCATTATGATGGCAGCAGCAGATGACTTCTCCCTCTTCTGTATATTAAAGTAACCTTGTAAATACCCCAGTTTATGCAACAGAACAAGATCGCTGTGCTTTTTAGTTAAATTGTGCAAAACAAGTACTACATTCAAGTGTGTTTATTGTGATTTAATTTAATAATTACTAAACCGGTAACTTACCTGAATGTATTAATGTTTTGAGCTTTATCGAGAGTAGAGCTGTTAAATGTGATTGTGTGTAATATTCACTGTCTTTGTTATACTTATGTTGGGGTTTGTGTTTGTGTTCAGACCCCGCGGTGGGGCCATGAGAGGCGGCTACAGAGATCCCTGAATATGAACCACTATGCCAATAAGAAGAGTGCAGCAGAAAGCATGTTGGATGTAGCTCTGCTCATGGCTAATGCCTCCCAGCTGAAGGCAGTGATGCAGCAAGGACCAAGCTTCACCTTTTACGTGCCCCTCATTATTCTCATTAGCATCTCTCTCACTCTGCAAATCCTAGTCGGAGTTCTGCTTATTTTCATAGGTAAGTCTGGAGGTTGTTGCCAGATTTCCATTTGCTTAACTTTGTTACAGTTTTCTTGGTATTTTTGGCTTGAAACCTTTAAAAAAATCAAAACATGAGCCTATAGAATTTTTTTAAATTCAGTGTAAACCATAATGTTATTATCTTTACTACTTTAATTTATAAAGTGATAAATAGGTATTATTCATAAATGTGTTCATAAATGCAATTTAAAAGTTGTTTTTTTCTAGTCGCTGTCTAGGGATGGGTATTGATAAGATTTTCACGATTCCGATTCCAGTTTCGATTCTGTTTAACGAGTCGATTCTTTATCGATTCTCTTATCGATTGCAAAAATGGCAAATATTCATTGTCAGCTATGTGAAGTCTAAGTTTAAAGCATGTACTATAACGTGAAGGAAGATTGTTAAGCCTTTTAACCAAAATTCTCAGCAAAATTCTCAACTTTAAAAGTAAGTAAAAGAATTTTAAAATTAATACGATATTTGACAGGAAGCCAGCGTAAATTTGCTAAAACTGGAGTGATGTGTTCATTCATTTTAACACCTGTTAAAAGACGGGCAGCAGCATTTTGGACTAACTGCAAGCGATGGAGAGATGAGTGTTGAAGACCCAAATAGAGAGAATTGCAGTAGTCTGTTGCGGACACTTGCTTCTCTAATTTAAAAGAGCTACCTAAAAACAGTCTGAGATTCCTTACAGTTTGAGAAAGATGAGAAGCAAGAGGACCAAGGGTAGTTAGCTTAGTCAGTTAGCTTATCAAAAGGGACATGACTTCCAAAAACCATAACTTCAGTCTTATTTTCATTTAGTGTGAGAAAATTCTGAGTTAACCAGTCTTTAACATCATGTAGACAGTTTAGCAAAGCCTGCAGGGGGACAGAGACATCCAGATTCAAGGGAAAGTAAATTTGGATGTCATCAGCATAACAATGAAAGGGGATGTTGTATTTCCTAAAAATAGACCCCAAAGGTGGCATGTATAGGGAGAACAGAATTGGACCCAAAACAGACCCCTGTGGCACACCACAACACAACGCAGAGGAAGAGGAGTATTGCCCAATAGTAACAGAAAAAGACCTCTCTGATAAATATAATTTAAACTATGATAAAACTGTGCCTTTAAGAACAACAATGTGTTCAAGTCTTGATAAAAGAATTTTATCATCAACTGTGTCAAAGGCGGCAGTCAAATCTAAAAGGACAAAAACAATAGAACAACCTGAGTCGATTTTTAAAAGAAGATCATTAAAAACTCTTAAAAGCGCACTCTCAGTACTCAGTACAGTAATGTAAAAACAAAGAATTACCCAATTTTTTTTACATGATTTTTGTTTCTAAGAAAAATGAGAGCCACATATGAGGATATTCGTTTAAAGAAGAATTTCGATAGAACAGTAGCAGTATAATGTCCTTGTAAGTGGATATCAGGCCCTTGTAGAGCAAAATTGAGTATTTTGGTCTAAATAACCCAAAATGTGATGTCCCCATATGTGGACGCCAGGTCCTAGGAGGCTAACGCAGAAAAATTCACAGGCTCAAACTGCTGAAAAACAGCTGAGCATTTAGAAAGTGAATCTAGGTCTAACACTGCCTGTGAATGCAGGGACCTTAAAGCAGAGATTTTTTCAGTGAAATGTTTCAAAAAGTTTTCACAGTGCAAAGGAAGCTACACTAGGAACAGTGGCACAGGGGTTAACCACAGAATTAAAAATATTAAAAAGAAATCTGGGCTTGTGACTACTGGTAGAAATTACACTGGATAGGAAAGCAGATTTTGCAGCTTTATCAGTTTTCTGATATTTTGTTAAGCGGTCATGCAGGATGCTTTTTCCATTTTCTCTCTGCACGTCATGTCTGAGAACACGGGTGGTTTCATTCAGCCAAGGTTGACGTGAAGATTTGGTGCATTTAGATAGCATGTATCACTTGATTATAAACAGACCCATAAACATTGCCTTGTTATGTAGTGTCTCACTGAAGGAAAGAACTAATTATACATCTGAGGGCAGCAGCTGTCGGCTAATTCATGTCTTATCTTTCAGTATTGATGTGACAGAAAACGGTATTGCCCCCATGTGGGGAAATGAGGTAGTTCCTAGTGACTGTGCACAAACAGTAATGATGACTAATGTTTCCATTCCTCCATACTCACGATTATGTTTTTCTTCTTCTGTTTAGTTAAGTGGAATCTAAATGATGAAAGAAATCACTACAGATTGGACATCTTGGAGAATGTGACCACAGCTTTCGTCTTTATCATAGTGGTTATCAACGTCTTCATTACGGCCTTCGGTGTCCAGCAGCCCAGCTCGAGCGGTTGATTGTGTTTTAAATAGTTTTCAATCCCTACTGATCAATTTAGTAAAGGCAGGACATCCAGACAGGGAGAGACAAGATATTCATTCACCAAACTGGCTGGCATGCAGGTGTATTTGCTTTTCTGTAATTCAACCTATCAGGTCTCAGGAGAACCAGTGAACTCAGAGAATCAAGTTACAGTATATTGTCTCCTGTGTGTGTGTGTTTCTGAGTAAAAGGAGTTCCTCAGACCATGGCCAGTCATGTACATGTGTTGATCAGTTCTTATTTCATGTGGCTATTAACTAGTCTGTTACCTCAGATCTTATAATGCTCAGGTTACTGATGCAAATAAGTAATTGTCTGTATGCAGAAAACAAACATCAGGAGCAATAGTCACAATCACTGTGAAGGTTTCCCAAACAACAGCTAAAGAAGACCACCTGCTTTTATTTTGAAGTTCTTAAACAGGTTAGTATGCCTTTATGTTTTTGGAAAAAAAACAAAAAACAAAAATCAGTTACTACCACAGAATCCAAAGAAAATTAACAATGGTGAATGCATCATGATTCATTCTGTCTTGCTGCTGTAAGAGGTATTATATGTGTAACAGCTTTACCATTCTAATAATGTTTACAGTGGGCCTTAACTGCTTTATTTTTTAAAGAGCTATGCAAAATCTGTCTAAAGAAAATTTCAACCTCCTAGCATACACCAGCTCATTGTTGACCCACCTATGGTTAAGAGTTTTTGGTTTGGTTAATGTCCACCACGTTTCTTGGTCGTGGCTCAAAAGTTGGGAGGTCGCCTTGCAATCGGAAGGTTGCTGGTTCGAGCCCCGGCTTGGACAGTCTTGGTCGTTGTGTCCTTGGGCACGACACTTCACCCGTTGCCAGGTGGTGGTCAGAGGGCCCGGTGGCGCCAGTGTCCGGCAGCCTCGCCTCTGTCAGTGCGCCCCAGGGTGGCTGTGGCTACAATGTAGCTTACCATCACCAGTGTGTGAATGGGCGGGGGACTGGATGTGTAAAGCGCTTTGGGGTCCTTAAGGACTAGTAAAGCGCTATACAAATACAGGCCATTTACCATTTTTATAGAATTTTCACCTGAATGGGAAACCCCCAAATGAACCAAAAAGAAATGTATTACACCTCATCAACGGTGGTTGAAATAAAACCTAACCCATGAGTTATCATGATGGATTACCGGTGACCTGGTGGATGTTAACAGGTTAAACTTTTTTCCTTGCCTTACGAATTAGTTTGTTTTTCTGTTTGTTTATTGTGAATTATATGGTTACTTTTAGACTTTTTTAAATGCATTTTTAAGGATCATTGTCTTTATCCTTTAATAATCTCCTGTTACACACTGCCTATTTTTAAACAATTTGTTATACAAAATAAAACTACATAACCATCAAGTTGAGTGTTTTGTTGTTGTTACTGGTTTATTGTACGAAGACAAAAGTCAGTTTTACAAAATGATAGCATCCCCACATGTAAGGCACAGGACACACAAATCATGAAAAACTGGCTTTATGTTAACTAATTTTCACCACAAGTCAAATTTTTATGTTTAGAGGTTGTTGATTACAAGGCACAAACACAAAAATAATTTAAACTACAATTTGCCACAATATTAGCATCTGACATCCTGAGAATTAACCTTCAAACCATGAAGAAGGTTTAAGCACCATTACTAGTATATCTTGTGTGCGTTTTTACAGAAAATACTATGAAGTTGTATTTGTTTCAACATTTGGTGCAAGTTAATTTATTGCTAGACAGTATTTAAGGCAGGAGAGGCACAGTATGAACAACAAGACAAAAATATCCATACTATATGATACAATATGGATTTATAACTGTAGCAAACTAAATGTAACTACTTCAGTGAGAAGTTTGACGCCGGGTTTTCAGTGCATTCAGTGGTAAGCCAAACGAGGACAATGAAACATTAACGTCCTGCCCGAAACAGCGGAAGCAAAGAGTATGATAGATTTCCGTTCTTCAGCTGCTCGGTGGAAAAACAGGGCGCGGTAAGTGACACAGAGTCAGCTAAACAGTAACGGGGAAGGTCAAGGAACGGTTAAAAACAATTTAAAAAAAAAAAAAACATGGTTAGAGATGCCACGAAGTAGGTGGCAATGCCTTAACCGTATGTGTGTTGCAGGCCACTAGGGCCAATTCCATCCTTGTCAAGGGGAGTGCTAACCTTCTCTCCTTTCATACAACACACCCTCCCTAAAGCAGGACGTCGTCATATATACCCGCGAGGACACAGCTTGGTTTCACTCACGGTGTCACTTCCAAACTTTAGTCTAATTGAAAAGGTCGAATATTCGTGGTTTTCTTCAAACGAGTGGTTCACTATTTATGTCTTCTCTGTTTTCAGTTACATTCGATATTTATGTTTTCAATTGGTTGCAACTCTACCCACACTGCACTGCGGTAGGAAGCCGTCCCCGCATTGGTAGATGCAGTCACGTGATTGTAACATTCGCTATAAAGTCATTTAAAGCATTACTTTTATGGATTTGGCTTGCCCCATGTGGCACTGGATTGTTCACACGTTTAATATCCTTTTTTGTATTGTGAGAGGCGGAATTTGGGGAAGTTCTTATGAAACAGACGTAAATTTAGTGATGTAGCTCCTCTTTTAACCACAAGATGGCAGTCAGGGGCTGTTCTTGACCTAACTGAAGAGCTTAAAACTAGTTCTTAAAAAAAATAAAAATAAAATAAAAATTGTTCTTAACAAATCATAGATTAAAGTCAAGAACCACCCCATTATTTAGTTTTCAAATTTCTCAGTTTGAAAAAAGTAATAAAGTAAGTTGGATGTTAGGGAAAAAAAGTTTTAAACTAGTTTTGTGGAAGCATTCCACAGCACAAATCCTCCATTTCATTTCCCTACACCAGTTTTGACCTCAACTGTATTAATCCCTCAAAACCATTTAAATGGGATACTTTCAATTGCGAAGTACCAAATGCAAACAAGCAAAATAAGCGTATATATCATTTACACTGTGTACATAATTACCTTAAAACCCTTGAAAATATATAGTGTGTTGTGCTTTGGCAAAAGCAGCAAGAGCAGAACAACTGAAGAAGACTCCCTTTACTTTATGAGGCTTTCCTCAGTGTACCATATAAGAACTTCTTGAGCTTTTCTTTTCAGTCCAAGAGCAGCCATCCCAAGTGCCCGGCTTCCTCCAGTCACTTTAGCTTCTACACAATAAGAAAGAAATAAAAATTACCTCTGGAAAAGTGAAAATTGTTTTCACACTATTAAAATGTGCATTTATATAATCCTGACAATATAAAATGAAGTCATGTGAAAAATTTGGGAGAAAAAAAGTTTACCACTGTAGTAATAGAAGAAAGCCATTCCCACTACAAAAGTGAAACAGCCCATAAAGAAGAGGGGACCTGCAAAACAGGAAGCACATAAAAAATTAGGCATCATGTCAGTGCTAAATAATTAGATACAAGTTTTGCCTTGAATAGTTTTGTCACAGTTTTGAAAGTTATTTTTTAAACATGTGTAAAGCCCTCATAGCTTAAAAGCAGCATCACTGTTTATGTTTTATAGTTTTGTTTCTTAGTTATATACATAAATAAATTACACTGTATATTACATGGCACACATGTTGGCACTAATTCTTTACTCTCCCTCCAAATCTTACCTCTGTCATTCAAAGCATGTCTCTGTTTGATGACCTGTGGAAGTTTGAGCGGATCCAAGGAATCTGGAAGCAGGATGGAATAAAATGTAAAATATGCCTACATATATAACCACAATTACTCCCCATAACCTCCAAAAAAACTGATATGTATGAAAGTGGTATGATATGAGTATAAGCCATTTCAGAGACGAACCTCTGAGGTGAAGCCTTGTAGGCAAACTGTAGTAGACCTCCTCAACATGCAAGTGAAGAGCCCTGTAAAATTCCCTGCATGCTTCCTCTCCTTTCCCTTGTAGGTGTGTCAAGAGCTCACCCAGTCGAACACTTGTGGGTACATCCAAGTTTCGGAACTGGACAACAGTTAACAACAGATATTATTTGTTATTCTTACACTGAAATCATTCACTATGGTGTTTTAACCTCAAGATTTTCAGAACCGTGAATGCTTTCCAGGTGTCTGTATAGGAATATTTTCACTTGAAGCGATGGGACATAAATAAATACATTTATTACTGGAATTTAAACTAGTTTATGTAAGTGTGCCTGCTGAAATACAATTTTAAAGGCACCTGACGATGCTTGAGCATTTAAATTTTATGCAGCTTCACGCTTTTCTTTCTTTACTCCTGCTATCCTGTTGACTATGGTTCCATTTTCAGAATGAGGTTCTGAAAATCTGCAATCACTACAATTATAACAACTCTCCAAACCCAATTTCTTTCTTCTTCTTCTTCTTTTTAAACCACAGACCTGACAACTTTCTTATAACTGAGCATGAACAAAAAACATCCGTTATTGTGATGTATTTCCAATCAGCGCACACTTTAATGATCTTTGAACACAGCAGCTTTAACATTAACACCTCCACGTATATATCACAGTAAGGAAAGATGAAACTGTGATACAGGTATGCAGATGTTTCAATAGTGGTTTTGGTCTGGGTTTCTAGATTGTTACACCCCTAGCAACCACTGCATAAACCATAGCAGCTACCATAAACAGCTATAGCGAAACCAAATGCTGCATGCAAGTGATCAAACTAGTAATAACAGCATAGTTTATACAGCTTGTGAGCTCATGGCCATTCTGTTGCTGGTTTTATTATGCACTTGCAACTACACTAATAAACACCGCAGTGTATTTCTAGAGCAGTACAACTTCGATTTTTTTTAACATTGTTTTACTTGAATGTTATTCCGTTGCACCACTGTCAGTATGCGACAGAGACAGTAAAAGGCTGCTGAGGAGGACTCACTTTGGTTGCCTCCTTGTCAGTGAGGATCTGCGGGTAGATTCTGTTGAGCTGCAGGATGAGTTTATCCACGACTTCTGTGTCCAGTCTCGGGTCATGTTTGAGGAAGGTGCTGTCCTCTGTGAGCTGCTCACAAAAACTGTCTGTCGGTGTAAACGGAGGCGTTAAACCCATTCGTTATATGGGCAGTTGTTTGTCAACAGGCTAGCATTTTTCTTTGGAAGGGTACGTAAGTAGGCAGTGGTTTACTCATAGAAAAGAAACGTTAAAGCCAGTTATTTTCTCTCTCTCGAAACTTTAGCAAGAGTAGAGTATGAGGCGTGGCGAAGTTAAGAAACTTCAAAGTCCCGAACATGACTTGGAATGAGACGTTACATTATCTTTGGCAAAGCGCAAACTTCAGCTTGCCACTGCTGTCGTAATATTGGTCACTCCAAGCTAATCGGGTCATATTATAGCAAAACTGAGGGCTAGATAATGTAGAATAAGCGTTATTTGTTATTTTAGGTAAAGAAATACACAAACCTCCCATTGCAGAGTCCCCCTGTGCCCTCTGTTGGACACGCCCGCTGACGTCATGCCGCCGGCAGGGATGGGCTTACGTCAACGTCTCCCATGAAGGAAAAAGAACCTTTTTCAGCGCAAAGACTTTATACAATGCAGCTTTTGCTGTAACTAATTAGAACTGTAACAACTTTATTTGGATCTATTTGTATCATAATTGATGTATATTTTTTATGTCTATACACATAAGTGCAAAATGAGAGCTCTATGTAAAACCACCTAGTTTCACTTAATGTTAATAGCGTAAATAATGTTGCTAATGTTAGATGTGATATAGTCCATCACTGACCAATGAGTCATTCAAGCATAAAATGGGTATCCGAACTCAAAGGAGGAAGCAGCATGGTGTTTACACTAACATGCCAAATAACCAATTTTAAATAGTATTTGTAGGTACTTTGCTACTAGCTGGA